TACTGCGTCTCCCACTGTTAATCCTTTGTGTTTCCATAGGTTGATGAAAAGACAGTAGGGGAGCCTGGTTGGCTTTATGGTAGTTTTCAAGGAAACTTTGGCTGGTTTCCATGCAACTATGTAGAAAAGATATCATCGAGTGAAAAAGCCGTGTCTCCCAAGAAGGCCTTACTCCCCCCTACAGTGTCTGTACCTGCTACCTCAACTCCCTCTGAGTAAGTTGGTTTTTGTTTGTTTTGATGTATTAATTTTCTTTCTTCTGAGTAAGTTTGGAACCAACAGTGGAGTTTATACAGCTCTGCAAATAGACAGATACCCAGTAAGTGCTGTGTCACCCTGCTCCATAGTCGTGTTGTTATCTGCAGTGGGCACTGCAGGAGTCTAAATAGTTCTGTAGACCTAATCAAAGTGTTACATTTGCAGATCACTTTCCTCAGATCAGCCAGCATCAGTGACTGATTATCAAAATGTGTCTTTTTCAAACCTAACTGTTACTACATCATGGCAGAAAAAGTCAGCGTTTACTCGCACTGTGTCGCCTGGATCAGTATCACCTATTCACGGACAGGTACAGGTCTTTCATTTTTATGTGCTTTCTTCTTTGATTCTGCTCCTCCTGATTCAAATAAAATAAAATGAAGATTTTGTCCACAGTCATCATTCACTCACCTAACCACAGTCTTGAAGCATCCTGTTTCTCTTTCTATTGATTTGTGATTTAAAATACAAGAAATTATAACAATTCATTCTCTTGTTATCAAGTTACTAGCAGTTAAAGTTTCTAAACTCAAAATATCATTTTCATATTTCATACAAATTAAGAATTTGTAGCATAAGAAGAAATTTCAACTTGAGGGTTTTGTTTGTTAGTGTGTTTGTTTATGCTTTTAAAAAGTCATTTGCCTAGGAATGGTGTTACATGACTTTAGCCTCTGATTTAGGTGTAACCATTGCAAACATTACTACATTAATGTTATTAATAGGTAACCTCAGACTTAATCACAATAGAGTCCTCTGAATTTCACCTTCAGTCTGTTTATTATATGATCATAGGTTCCAGACATTTTATTATATATGAGAAGCTTAAGAGGGGAAAAAATTCTCTGCAATTAAGAATTCATGTTCTAATGGAGACAGACATGAATAAATAACTTCAAGGTAGGAGAAGTATTAAAGATTTCCACAGTCTTGACAGGTATACAGAAGAAAGCCATTTCATTCGATCTGCAGGAATTGGACCAGGCCTCACACAGGGAAAGTCACTTTGACAGTCAGCAGGATCTCAACAGAGACAGAAAACTATTCTGTGAAAGAACAATTTGGGGCAAGTCACTCCAATTTGATTATAGTGTAACTGGAGTGCAGTATTCAGGGCAAAGTTGGTAGACTTAAAGGGGTACAGGAATCAACATGAAATGGTCAATCCATTGGGTATGGAGAAAGAGAAAAAGTCAGAATGAAAAGCACTTCTTCGGGGTCATTCACTTCAGTAGCTGAAGGAATGGTGATACCGTGCTGGAGAGGCAGTGTGAGAAGAGTAGGTTTGCTGGGCTCTAAAAATGATGATGTTTTAAACAGGCGACTTAGCTATCTGTGTTGAGACAACCCAGTAGGCCACTGGATTTACAAGTCTGGAGCTGAAGGGTAACAATATTAGCTACACCGACGAACAGACTTGAGAAAACATAAGCAAAAATAACATTATTTGGGAAATCACGTGCAAAAGAAGGGGAAGGGTTAGACCGAATGGGAGCTATCATCCACCAGAGAGTGTGTCTGCAGGTGCTTCAGGGAAGTCAGCACTGTTCAGAGATAAAGGGAAATAAGTGTCTGGAAGAGGCTTTTGGCTTTGATGTTACCAGTGACCTTGTCAAGAAGAGGTTCAGTTGCATGATAGGTACAGACCTAAATTAGAATGACTGAGGGGTGAAATTGGAAAGCCAGTTTTAGATTGTTCCTTTTTTAAGGAAGTTAAAAGTATGAAGTGGAGAGATTGACAATGGAAGAGAGGGACTTCATGATGTAACCGAGTATTTTTAGAAAGTGGGGGGTCAGAGCAGACTTAGAGCACACGCAAAGATGTTAGCCTGATCAGCAGAACAGAACCACTCCTTCCTCTGAGAGAGGAGGGGAGAAAGAATGAGTAAGAGTAGGAAGAAATCAGGAGACAGAAAGCAGAAGAGTGGCAGGAAGCTGAGCAGCCCACATCCCTGCACTCTGGAGCGCACCAACCCGAGAGTGGAGAGACACACTGGGAAATGGAGGGAAGAAGGGTCTGTGCTGGCTCTGCCTTGTCCTTCGCTCTGTGCTGTGTGCTGGGTGGATTTATGAATGCATTCCCGAGTAGCCTCCATATCCTTGATACTTAATACCGAGATGTTTCTTTAAACAGGAGGTTTTCAGTCTTTAATTTAGCAGAAGGCGATTCGATGGTTGTCATCCATAATTGCAGGTTGGTCAGCAGATTAAAGTTAAGTCACCATTGATAATCAGTTACCACCACACCGAACAGGTTTGTTGTTTGAGCATAAGCATAAGCATATGATGGATTAGTAAACAGAAATCAAGTACAACTGTCCTTTTTGAAAATGCTGTGGTTTTATGTTCACAGGGACAGGTTGTAGAAAACCTAAAAGCTCAGGCCCTTTGTTCCTGGACTGCAAAGAAAGATAACCACTTGAACTTCTCAAAGCATGATATTATTACTATCTTGGAGCAGCAAGAAAATTGGTGGTTTGGCGAGGTGCATGGAGGAAGAGGATGGTTTCCAAAATCTTATGTCAAAATCATACCTGGGAGTGAAGCGACAAAGCGGGAAGAGTAAGCATTCATGTGTTTACCGGAAGCGTGAATGTTGGCATTCTCAGTCATGACTTTGCTGTGCCAAGAAATTAAAACTTTGTGCTTGACTTTGAATATCAGAAGAGTAATTCTTAGGGTGAAAAAGACATTCAGATGCTAGCCACCAGCTTTAGGATCTTATTCTAGTTATTTCAGATTCCTGAAGTTTTCAGTGCTTAGGTCTTTGCTTTCTTTGTGTCATCAGGTCAGAGACGTTACCCTTCGCTTCTCTTGGCTGTGAATCATCAGTGTTTAAATGCATCTTCACGGAGGCCTTCCCCTTGCCAGTGTGGGGCATCTGGGGGGGGCCTCCAGGGTCTTCAGGCACCACCTGCCTTACTACTTACAACACAGTGTTGTAGTTTTTGGCTTTCTTACCCATGCCCCATTATGTAGTACGCACATAAGAGCAGGACCCAACTTTTTTTTTTTTTTAAAGATTTACTTATTTTTGCGTACAGAACTGGGGTACAGGCCAGACATGCAGGGGCGGAGAGAGGATTCATCAGAGACAGAGTGGGGAGCAGAACATGCAGATTGGCAAAGCACACTGCTGAGGGGAGCAGCGGGCGGGTCAGGAGAGGTCTGCCACGCCATGTGGTCACTTCCGGGGCAGGCGAGGATCGAACTCATGCGGAAGAGGCTTTAGCTTCTTAGTGCTGTGCTTTAACCCGCTGCACCACCAGGGAGGGCCCCAACTTTTTTTTTAAGTTGATTGATTTCTACTTTTTCCATGTCTAGTGTAATCTTCATGCATACTCTCTACGCAGTCACTTAACTCAGTGAGAGGAGCTAATAAAGAATGGACAATCAGGTGGTGAACTTTCAAATGAACAAAAAGCAATTAATTCTCCTTTTATTTCCCAGTATGCAGAGGAGTCTGGTCATCAAACATCTTTCATACAAAGAAATTACATGTTCTACTGTAGCAATGAATAACTATCTCCCATGTTTTATATGGAAGTAGACCTAAATGTAAAAGCAGTCTGATTTAATGAAAAGGGATTGGTCTTTGGAAGTCAAGTTCTTTTTTGCCCAGGCAGTTATGTAATAACCTGCTTGACCTTCAGTTTTCTAATTGATTGAATGAAAAGAATAAATTAAATAATCTTTAAAAATCCCTTCTGAAAATCCCTTCTTAAAAATCCCTGCTGAAATACTGTGTGTCAATTTTAGTTCAAATGCACAAACTTACTTTTCAGAGTGACACTGAATTTTAGACTTAGAAGTATGGAATAACAGTAGTATCAACAGTACCATTCGCTGACAGATACATGGCTAAACCCGTTCAGCTGTGGCTGTGAGTTGTGCTGAGATTCCACTGTCTCCCTGAAAACTCACTCACAGACCCTGGGGACCCCTGGTGCATCCTGCAGATGTCTACTTCTTAAAGCAGCAATCTTCCAGATGTTTCAAACCTGTTTCCTGAGTTAGATTAGAAATTACAGGTCTGCCTCTTCTGAAATATAAAAGATCACTCTGTGTGTGTGTGTGTGTTTGGAAATGTAGTGTGTTCTAAACAAGTACTAAATTTATCTACTGCCGTGTTTTTCCTTGTACCAAGCCTAGCCCAATATTTGTTCCACCTAGTTACTGCTCATTTACCAGTCTAGTCGTGTTTTTTAGGTTTTTTTTGGAAAGGCATTTGAAAGCCATAAATGTTCAATTACTTTAATATACTGAACAATTTAGAAGTTTATAATGGATCCACCAGAATTTCAGTTATGAGATTTCCAGCCTGTGCACTGAGACCCGAGTTAGATTACTTTTAGGAACCTCTCCTGATGGCCTAGTGTGGCTGCATGCATCATCAACTTTCTTGTTTTTTGCTTGCTAATGTCTTTTTAGTTTGTTTCATTACTATTTTTTTATCTGTTTATTTGGCAGACCAGAAAGTTTGTATGCAGCTATAAATAAGAAGCCTACCTCCGCAGCCTATGCAGTTGGAGAAGGTAAGCTTTGGACAATTTGTAAATTAGGTGGGAGTTAATTTATCTAGCTTCCTACAGTTGTTATTCTCCCTGCTTCTATCTTTCTCTTTTGTTGTTAAAGTGAAGTTAGGTAAACCTGCCTTTCTTAAATATTGAGGCTATTTGAAAAAATATGGCTAAAAACAGGTGGCACTTTATTAAAAGGTAAGCACAATAAAATTTCAGCCTTCGACTGCCATAGTAAACGAGATCATAAATGAGGAGCTGTGGGGTAGCATGAAGCTTTTATTTTCCTGTTATGTATCTAGATTACAGATGGCTAGAAGGTAAGCGATTTCAGTACATTTAGTTTACAAATTGTATTGTAATTACCATATAGCATATAAGTCATCAAATATGAAGTGAAATGAAGATGCAATATCCTAAATACCTCAGACATTTTTCTACAATCTGTGGGTTGATTCATTAGTAATTTTGAATTTGTGCTAAAAAATGAAAGACTGTCTACTCTCATTTATTCATGTTGATTAAAAGTGTCAGTTTAATGGCAAATTGAAGTTTATTTTTTATCTACTCTGTTAGGGACTCTGCTGGAAAAAGAACGACTAAAACATAGTCTTCAGGACTCATGGTAGAATGGGGATGGAAGGCATAAGTGATGATAAATTCTAGGAGTGAACAAAAACTTACTTTTGAGCAGGATCTGGGTGCCAACAGAGGTGGCAGTGTTGTCATTGCGGGCAGAGGGAAGGGGCAGATGGGCGTGGAAGCCTCACCTGTGTACCTGCTAAGGGTCCAGGCACTTGGTTCTCAGAGAGCCGGGAACAGTATGTGTGAGAGAATTGAGTGCAGTGAAAGGAGCCCGACAAAGCAGTGAGGAGTGTTTTGGAAAGACCTGACTTGCCACATACCTGAAATCACAGTCCAGTGGTTCCGCTTAATAAGCGAGCGTGAGTCACTCTGGGGACACAGAGAGTGTGTAGGCGCAGGTGGTGTTCCTAGCCATCTCCAGTTTATGGTATGAGGACAAAGCTCCAGCGATAAATATGAATCAAAGTAGAAAAGAAAGAAAAGGACTTATGGAAGGAAAAGGACTGGTCTTTACTGTTTATTTTAATGGGAATGACAGGAACAGAAACCAAAGCCAGAATAAAACCAGAGACGTTTCCCTGGAGGTGCCAGCACGCACCGTCTCCTTTGCAGGTGCTGTGGGCGGGGTGGGGCGTCACGAGAGAACTTACCCTCCAGCACCGATGTCCGCTGGATATTGGGCGTTCCCAAAGTGCGAAGGTAAAAGAATTAAGGAGAAAAAAAACTCGGACTAAAATATATTTTGTAAATGGCCAGAAAAACTTCATATCATGACTTATAGCTACAGAGATACTGGCATCTACTTGTGGTTCTGGGTTATTCTCCATGATGTGAGGATGGCAGTACCATTGGGAAAAGAAGCACCATGGTGAAGCTTTATGTAAAATTCAGAATCTTTCTTCTAAGCAATTATTAAATATTTGCATCATTGATTTTTTCCCCTCCCTTCAGATACTAGTTTCCTTTGAGTCACAAGTTCTTTTGCTGTGAACTTGCTCAAAATCCTAGAGGTGAACATTTTTTTTTTTTACTTCCGTAACCTGACAACCAAAATTAGTTTTTTTTGCTTTGTTATCTACAGAGTATATTGCACTTTATCCATATTCAAGTGTAGAGCCTGGAGATCTAACATTTGCTGAGGGTGAAGAGATACTGGTGACCCAGAAAGATGGAGAATGGTGGACAGGAAGCATTGGAGATAGAACAGGGATTTTTCCATCAAATTATGTGAAACCAAAAGATCAAGAGGTAAGAGTTCTTTTGATACAGAAACTAACTTCCAGACCCTCCCTGGTGGCTCAGCAGGTTGGAGCGCTGCACTGCGAAGCTAAGCCAAGCTGAGGCCGCTTCAGTGCGAGCTCAACGCTGGCCCCGGCGGTGACCCACACGGCGCTGCAGACCGCTCCTGACCTCCCACCGGCCCCTCGGCCGCGTACTGTGTCAATCTGCCTGTCCTGCCCCCCACTCTGTTTGTGGTGAGTCCTCTCGCAGCTCCTGGACCTCTCGCCTGTACCCCATTTCTGTATACATAAATAAATCTTAAAATCTTTCAAAAAAAAAGAAAAAAGGAAGCAAACCATTCCATTCTCACTGCCCAAGACTCATGTTTGAAACACTTGTGTGGCATGACAGACTACTTTGGTTTCAAGGAAAAACCACCGGAGGTGGCTCCAGTGAAACAGTTTATTGTTGGGGTTCAGTTAGCTATACGGGAAACAGGACCTCATGGAGTTTTCAGAACAAGAATCAAGGTCACTAGGATCGGGAGCGGCTCCCCACAGGGAGGCTCGGGCGCGCGGCAGGGGCATCTGCGGCTCTCATGCAGCCCCCAGCTGCCGCTGTTTTCATTCACGCTGAATGGGGTAGTGCAGCCCTTCCGGAACTTTCTGCTTTTGGGACCTGCTTAACCTTTTTAAAAAAAGTTACAGGGAATCCCAGATTTTTTTTTTTTTAATATATTGGCTATAGCCAGTGATATTTACCATATGAGACATTTATGTTTAGGAAATTTAATTCGTCTTAAAATAACAAAATTAAACCACTACTTGGTAACAAAAATAACTTGGTTTTTATGAGAAAACAATATATTTTCAAAAATAAGTTTAATATAAATATCAAAGGCAGCTAGATTCTCAGATGTTTCTATATTCAGTCTGTTGTGATTTTTGGGGGGGGGCTGAGCTAGATGAAGAAAAGTAAATGCACACAGATATGGGAGGAGATAAAGAAGTATTTCAATAACATTTTCGAATATTTGTGGATATTCTTTGATATTATATCAAAACCTGAGAAGTGTTAACCTCCCGAAGTTAGTTGCGGAATTTAAAGTGAATGCATTTCAATTTTGCATTGAAATTAAAGTTGTTTTTTGTACATTGGATGGATCTCCTACACACACATGAGGTGACATCATTTATTGCTTATTTGGAAAATATTGAATCACTGAATTACAAAAATATCTTCTTTACTAATACCTGTCATTATACAATATCAAAAACATATTTGTTAACATTGTCAGTGATCTCATAGAAAAGTCTTTAACTACTTTGAAACTGTCACACTCAAGGTGGTGGATACATGTTTTCCGAAATTAAAACTTTCCTTTGAAAGCCTGGAATTTTATCAGTGTCAGAAATCCTGTTCTCCTTGAAGCAGAGACTTATTTCAGTCATCTTTGAGAAGATGTCTGCTAAACCCTGTTTGAATAGCTTGTCATATAGCTGTTCTTTTTTTTCTTAAAGATTTATTTATGCTTACAGAAGTGGGGTACAAGCCAGAGGTGTGGGTGAGAGGACTCACCAGAGACAGAGTGGGGAGCATAACAGGCAGATGGACTGAAATACACAGCTGAGGGGAGCAGTTAGTGGGTCCGGAGAGGTCTGCCATGCCATGTGGGTCAGCTCCTTGGTGGGGGATTGAACTCATGCTGCAGTGGCTTCAGAGAGCTTCATAATGCAGTGCTTTAAACCATTGTGCCACCAGGGAGAATCCCCATGTAGCTGTTCTTTTAAATAAAAATCTTCCATGAAAATGTAACTTAGCCACATTTAATCACCAAGTGCTTTTCCTTGAGAACAGTCACACTGCAGTACGCAGCAGAAATGCTGCAGACGCTGATCTCTTAGCCACACCACACATTACCATGTGTCCTTGAAGATGGAGACATCTAGTGCATGTTGTACTGCTCAGTGAAGCACATCTGTGAAGCTGACTTTGCTCTCTTCACCGGAATCGCGTGCCGTGAAGAGTGCTGTGACTGCCAGAGTAACTCGTGCCACTGCGGGACTTGTGCCAAGCCATCAGCAGTTTCTTCATAAACGAGGCTCATCCTGGTAGCGTGGCAGCATGAAGACAGGGTCTCCCAGCCCCTGAAAGGGGCCGCAGTCGGCCCTGCCAATCCACAAGCCATTCATGGAGCCTCCAGGGTTGATTTCTGGCTTCCGCCACGAGAGGCTCTTTGTCTTTGATCTTGTACAAATCCCTTCACTTCTCTGTGCTCAGTTCTCCAAACTGGATGTAATCATATAATGTTATTATAAACATTAAATGTTTAAGTGAACATATGTAAATTCTCAGAGCAGTCCATTGCTCTTTACTGTGCCCAGTTCTGCATCAGTATTTTAAATACTGCTGTGTCCACTAAAAGGAAGAGTGTTTAGCCCCTTCCCTTTTCTTACTCTGATTCCAAAAGAGGAAACATGGCTTTATCCTTATTCTGTAAAATTAAGCAAGTATTTGTTGCTACCCAGGAGTTACTTATTTTTTGTTCTTAGGTCAGTTTTAGGGGGAGCATCACAAAAACAATGTTAGTGATATTGCTTCCTCTGAAGAGACTCACATGTGCAATAACATATCCAGAACACATGTGTTGTATGCGTGTGTATTGATGCTAACCCTTTTGATAAATGAGATATATTTGAATTAGATAATCACATTTAATATTCAGGAAAGATCCAGAAAACAAGCTAGTCCTGTTGGGTCAGTGGTTGCTAACAGCCACGTGAACATAGTGTATTATGAGATCATATCTCCCCAAAGCGCTGGCTTATTTGGTTAATATAAAAGCACTTATTTTTTTATAGCGTCTTTTTTTTTAAAGATTTATTTATTTGTGCATACAGAACTGGGGTACAGGCCAGAGGCTCAGGGGCAGCGAGAGGCTTCACCATAGACAGAGTGGGGGGCAGAACAGGCAGATCGACAAAGTACACTGCTGAGGGGAGCAGCGGGTGGGTCAGGAGAGGTCTGCCTCGCCATGTGGTCACCTCCGGGGCAGGTGGGGATCGAACTCAAGCGGAAGTGGCTTTAGCTTCTCAGTGCTGTGCTTTAACCCGCTGCGCCACCAAGGAGGGCCTAAAAGCACTCATTTTATGTTCATTTAAAGGAACAAAAATTCTGCAAATTAAAAATCTCTTAATTCCTGACAATCTTTATACTTTTTACATATGTTGGAAAATGATAAAACACTGTGTCTTTTTCCTTACAGAGTCTTGGGAGTGCAAACAAATTGGGAACATCAAACAAAAAACCTGGTATGTATAATAATGAAGCTGGAAGGTTTCTAAATTGATTATTATAGTTTTGAGTTCATAGTTTCTTGTTTCTTTTCTTTCCAGAGATTGCTCAGGTAACTTCAGCATATGTGGCTTCTGGTTCTGAACAACTTAGCCTTGCACCAGGGCAGTTAATACTAATTCTAAAGAAAAATACAAGTGGATGGTGGCAAGGGGAGTTACAGGTAATAACCTTTAAATATATTTATTAATTATGTTATACAAGGTAATGCATGTTTATTTAAAAAACTTAGAGCCCCTTTAATCTATCACTTAGAAATGATCAGCATTATATTTTAGTGGATTATGTTTCTATCTAAATATCTTCCCTGTTCATTTTTAGTACAGTTGAATTTTTGCCATAAGTAACACATATAAAGACATTGTTTTCCAATAACTCCTATTGTACTAAACCACAGGTTGCCTTAAGGAAAACCATAGTGTTGTCTTGCCTGGGGGAACCTTAGACTTGCAGTATGAAAGGCCTTCAGGAAAAAAACAGGATTCCGACAGTATACAAAGAGATACTGCCGGTTAAATTGTTCCCGCCATGGTCTTATGTTTTTGAACAACCAGTGAAAGGAAAGAAATTTCAGGCTTAAAATGAGCCTTTTTTTTAATGTCAGCAGACACAGTTTTTTGTTTTTTTAAAGATTTATTTATTTGTGCATATAGAACTGGGGTACAGGCCAGAGGTACAGGGTGGTGAGAAGATTCACCAGAGACAGAGTAGGGAGCAGAATAGGTGGATCAACGAAGTACACGGCTGAGGGGAGCAGCGGGCGGGTCAGAAGAGGTCTGTGGTACCATGTGGGTCACCTCTTGAGCGGTGCTTAAACTCGCACTGAAGCAGCTGCAGCTAGCTTGCAGTGCTGTGCTCTAACCCACTGCGCCACCAGGAAGGACCTAAATCCTTTTTTTCTTTCTTTCTTTTAATTGAGATATAATTGACCCACAACATTAGTTTCAGGATATAACATCCTAATTCAATGTATTTGTATATCAAATATATGTATATATATATTTCACCTATTTGAATTCCTTGCTTAACAGCCAGGGTTCTTCAAATGTTTAATTTCTTGACAATCGTTTTTAATCTATCTTTTCTATTCCTTTTGCTAATTTTACAGGCCAGAGGAAAAAAGCGACAGAAAGGATGGTTTCCTGCCAGCCACGTTAAACTTTTGGGTCCAAGCAGTGAAAGAACTGCACCTGCCTTTCATCCTGGTATGGAACTGGGTTAACTTGTGCTTCACATTACAGAAGGTCTGATAAAACTCAGAGTTTCTTAAAATAGCCAACTGAAGAAAATATTTTTTAAATGTGGCCTTTTTTTACCTGGACCTTAAAAAGTACTGTCCCACTGAGAAATTCCTTTCTAAAATGTTCATTGTGGAAACAGCTAATTGTTCAGCAATACATGAACCACTTCAACTCCTCGAAATTTTTTCAAGAGGAATTGTATTTCATCGTCATCCTTAAAGTGAAGCAGTTCCCTGGAATTTTGATGATAGTTGAAACGTTCTTTTTTTGTCCAGCAGGGAGTGGGGGAGGAGGAAGATGGGAGAGAGCAGCTGAGGGCAGACTTTGCCCATTTTTATACTTAGTTTTAGAGTAATTTAAATCCTAGGGAAATTTGTTAAGTAATAGTTTATTTTTACATCATTTTGTGCCTTTTTCCACCTCAGTTGTAATCCTCGTGGATTTCCCATCACCAAATCACCCATGTGCCATCACCATAGTCCAGTGCACAACCCCTCCCCCCATTTTTGATCCAGTTCTCCACTCCACCCCCCCAAATGTCTCTGATATATAGCTGTTCATTATTATTATTATCTTCACCACCCCCCCTTTATGCTTCTGCTATGAGTGAAACCATCTGTATTTTTCCTTTTCTTTCTGGCTTATTTCACTAAGCATGATCCCTTCCAGCTCCATCCATGTTACTGCAAAAGGCATGAGTTTATTTTTGACTGCTGAGTAATATTCCATTGTGTATATGTACCACATCTTTTTAATCCAGTCATCCACTTTTGGGCATTTGGTCTGTTTCCATGTCATTCCTATTGTAAATAAAGCAGCAGTAAACATGGGGGTGCAGGTGTCTTTCTGAATCAGAGTTTTTGTGTCTTCTGAGTAGATACCTAAATCCTGGGGAAATTTTAACGCCGCCCTTGGGGGCTAATTCGTCTAATGTGCCATGTCTCCCCTCTAGTGTGCCAGGTGATCGCTATGTACGACTATACGGCAAACAACGAGGACGAGCTCAACTTCTCCAAGGGACAACTCATTAACGTTTTGAACAAAGATGACCCTGACTGGTGGCAAGGAGAAGTCAGCGGGGTGACTGGCCTCTTTCCCTCAAACTACGTCAAGATGACGACGGACTCAGATCCGAGCCAGCAATGTGAGTAACGCCGGGCCGCTCGCTGCTCGCGCACAGCTTGGCGACGGCGCCGCGCTCGCGACGGGCTGGGGCGGGACTAACGGCAGAGCCCTTGGCACGAGCACGGCCGCGTTTCAAGCCAGAGTAGGCGAAAGAAAACTTCACAGGCCAAAAATGACAGTTTTTTCTGCCTACGGCTAGCATCCATTGGGGGGAAAGTTAACGTTCAGTTATGAAGCAGTGTCTGCCGCAGCCTCCCTTCACCACTGGCCGTTTTTGGCAACCGCTGTTATTTTCAGCTTAATAAAGAGTTCTAGTAACATCATCCAGGTTGGAAGAAAATTAGGGCCCTCCCTGGCGGCACAACGGGTCAGGACGCAGCACTGCAAGCTGGCCGCAGCCTCTTCGATCCCCGCCCCGGAGCTGACCCACATGGCCCGGCAGACCTCTCCTGCCTCCCCGCTGCTCCCCTCAGCGGTGTATTTTGTTGTTGATCTGCCTTTTCTACACCCCACTCTGTCTCTGGTGAATCCTCTCACTGCCCCTGCACCTCTGGCCTGCACCCTAGTTTTGTATGTATAAATAAATATTTAAAAAAAAAAAAAAGAAAATGAAAAGCCCACTTAAACTGTTTGTAAAACCCTCATAAAGTGATTTAAAAAAAAAAAAAAGATAAATGTACCTCATGTCACAAGAGATGATGACTCAAGATATGTGCCTATTTTTAGAGTCTGGGTCCAGATTTCAAAGTGTGTAATTTGGCATTACATAAAATTATCTCTTGATAGTTACCTAGTCTTCCTCATATTTGACAATTAAACATAGCATTAATAATAAATTTCAGACTCAACAGTACTTGGAACTAAATACTTTTTGCCTCTATAAAATGAATGTCACTTTTCTCAACCCTTGTGATATTTTTCCTATAAAAGACATGATCATTTGCATTTTTATCATACATGTGAAATTATCTAAAATAGACTTCATCTTAATTTAGTTGCTTAGGACATAGAATGACAGCCAAGCTGAGGTACACTTAGAATTTTTATACTATATAATTAATATTGAAATACATTCTACATTATTTCATCATTGTTTACAAAGATAGTTTTTATCTTGGGAGATAAAGTTTACTTTATGTTTTTTAATGATCTATGCATATAAATCTGGGGTATACTGCACCCCCATGTTTATTGCTGCTGTATTTACAATTGGAAAGACGTGAAAACAACACAAATGCCCGAAAGTGGATGACTGGATTAAAAAGATGTGGTGCATATACACAATGGAATATTACTCAGCAACCAAAAAAAAAATAAAAACATGCCTTTTTCAGCAACATGGATGGAGCTGGAAAAGATCATGCTTAGTGAGATAAGCCAGAAAGAAAAGAAAAATACAGGATGGCTTCACTCATAACAGGAGTATAATGTACCAGGCAAGACAATAATAATAATAATGAACAGCTATATACCAGAGACACTTTATGGGGGTGGAGTGGGGAATGGGATCAAAAACAATGGGGGAAGGGAAATGCACTGGACTATGGTGATGGCACACGGGTGATTTGGTGATGGGAAACCCATGGGGATTACAACTGAGATGGGAAAGTGCACAAAGTGATGTAAAAATAAACTATTATATTAAAAAAAACAAACAAACTGGGGTATGGGCCAGAGTGTGGGGTTGTGATTCACCAGAGACAGAGTGGGGAGCAGAACAGGCAGATGTACTGAAATACACTGCTGAGGGGAGCAGCAGGCCGGACAGGAGAGGTCTGCTGTCCCACGTGGGTCAGTTCCCTGGCTGGGGATTGAACTCACTGGGCAGTGGCTGCCCGTAGATTCAAGAGGTTTAACCCCTTGCACCACTGGGGAGGCCCAAGTTTAGTTACTTATGTAAAAGTAACTAAATTTCCCAACTTAGAGGTGAAAGGATGCCAGATTTTATGGTTTGAACAATCCCAAAATTAATCTCAGGGCCTCAGGAGAAGTGGTGAGGAGATCTCACCAGCTTGGGCTAACCTAAATAACCACTTTCTAAGTCTGCTGATGTTTCGTAGCCTGTAGTGCTTGCCAGCTCCCCTGGGCATTAGACACCAGAGGAGCCTTTCCTGGGCATGAGAAAGCAGTGTTGGGCCTGGCAGGTCTCTGGCTGTGGCTGTGGATCCTGTGGCCTTCCACAGTGCCTGGGATCCGAGTGGGATCCAAAGGTTTGCTGTCGTCTACCTTGTTTTCCGGTGGCGGGACACTTTTTTCCAGCTAAGTCTTAAGGGATAGATTCAAAGGACAAATAAAGCAGTGATAAAAGAACAGCCTGTCTCTGGCCCCAGACCTCACTTCCCTCTGCACTACTAATTCAATTCCCCCTGAAGATAACTTTAGGTCACTAGTCTAAAAAATCTACTTCATTCAAGACAGTCATGACCCCTAGAAAACTACCATCCCAACAATTGATTGACAACTTTTTTTTTAAACAAGATAGTAATTTGTCAGTAGGTTGAAACATGAATGATACAGAAAACAGATTAGCATGAACTAGTTCTCTCAGTAAACACTTGCCACAGTAATTATTTTGGCCAGAGAATGCAGCTGCCCAAGCCCAGAAGAGATAGGAGGTGTAAGTCTTAAAAGGCCCTGTCCAAGAGAACATTCTGTAGTGAGGGAAATAGTCTGTCTTTGCATCTCTAGTACCACTAGTCATGTGTAGCTTTTGAGCATTTAAAGTGTGGCTAATATGACTGAGAAACTCAGTTTTAAAATATACTAAATTTTAATAAATTCACACCTAAATAGACATTTGTAGCTGGTTGCTATTATAGTCAACCGCGCAACTCTAGAATAACTAATTGCAAGCCCTCCTGAAATAAAACCGGGAGATAGCAGAATTGGAACAGACACACAAAGAAAAGGAAAAGCTTTGTCAGTACTGACCAGCATCATAATTTTAAGGGAACAAAAAGTTCCCCTTGCAAAGATTCACATTTTCCTCTCTACTAAATGTTAACGTTCTCCACACTGTTCAGTGAACAGATTCACTCACCTAGTAAGCTTTCTTTGTCTGCGTGTTCAGACTGGGCACTGGGAATACAGGCATAGAAGTAATCATTACATCAGAAACACCATGTTGAAGTAGCTGTGAGTTTAAGTCTGTTGACTTTCAGATAAATGCAGCAGGTGCTAGAATAAATATTTACCTGGTATGTGTTGGGAAAAGAGTCCCTAAATCTCTGTAGGGGAAGAAAGCTTGTGGTGGAAGACATCAGAGTATTTGAAGTGGGACATTAAGGATAAACAGGATCAGTTTACAGGGAGCAGGTGTTGGAGGGGTGGAGGGCGTGAAGGGGACGGGGAGAAGATTCCAGTTATTTTCATGATCATTTCACATATTTAGGAGCTAGGTAAATTGTTCAAGAGATTATTGGAAAATAGGAGCAGTTTCAAAGTTCTTTTGTTATAAAATATTTTGTGCTTTTTTATTACTGAGTGTATTGATTTTTTTTCTTTTTTCCATTACTATATCTAAAAACTGAGAACTTTATTGTTTTACCTAAATGACTCTGGTTCATCATCCTTCCTGGAATAAAAAAGTGGTTAATTCTGCAGTTGAGAACAGTTTCCAAATAGATTTCTCTGCGAATGCTATCTTTTCTATAATTGTTTAAATCTCCTGAGTACATGGAGGGGAGTATGTGGGTTTTTTTTTTTTTTTCACTTAAAATAATTATCAGACATCAAAGAATCGTAATTAGCATTTTCAAAGAAAATAAGGAAGAAAAAGAATTGAGATCATGACATTGGTCGCTGTGAGAATCACTCACGGTTGTTCCTGTAAGCCTGTGACTTTTAACGGGTGGGTTGTGGTTGGGAAAACTTGTAATTCTTCAAGCCAGGAGATGAGTTGATTTCTTTCTTGTTTCTACCCAGATCTTTAGAAATGACTATAGTCTTTGTATGAATCAGTGAAAACTAGTTAAATTTAGATTAGCGTTTGTTTTTGATTGTGTTAATTTCATTTTATCATATAACTAGGATATTTTTTAAAGGTTACACATGTTGATAGTTCAAATTTGTTTAATTGATGTTGCATGTTATTAGTCAGATTTTTTTTCTCAGCCACTTAATTTGCATTATGTTCATTTTATTCCTCATTTTTCTTTTTATAGGACCCAATGTTGTCTTCAGTGTGAAAGCACCTCAGAGACCCACTATCCAAGTTTGACTCTAGCGTGGTGGCAGGGCAGGCAGCCCTGGTCAAATATCTCCTACAAATCATTTACTTCGTTTGAATGTTAGAGCCACTTGTGATTATTTCTTTGTGTTTCTAATTTACAGTTAAAATTTATCTGTAACAAGTTAAAGGATAGTGGGTCTTTGTGTGGCTTTCCCTGCTATTCACTCTGACATCCTTTGGCATTTTTCTTCTTTTTTAATTTGGTAATTGTAGGTCATTAGCATGCATTTTGAGTTTGCCCTTACACGGTGGGAGTTCAAACACACAAAGACCCACTATTTGCACAAACTGTTCTCGCTGATTTAAAATGGGCTGCCATGCTTAACTAATGTTACTGCAACATGTGTCTTCATGCAGAATTCAGATAAAACTCGCTTGTGTTTTGCTATTATGTTTGATCTAATCCTAATCACAGTGAGCTCTTAATTGGTTCGGTATGTGATTTGCTCCCAAATATGCACTGTTTCCTACTTTCTAACATGCCACTATGAGTAACAAATTGGTTTTAAGACAAAGAACTGAAATAACCGTTTCTCTATTTTCTGTGTATTTCTGGGCGGAAGCCATGACAATTGGGGGAGCTTTTCTTAGCTCAGAGAAGCAGCTCGTGCAGAGCGGACATGCCGATGTGCTTCCTGCCCGAGCATGCGCAGTACTGTGGTCGCGCCCTCAGGGTCTTGTGCTCTGGGCTAATGAAGACGTTGCTGCAAAGTCACTTGTCACCTCTTCATTGATTACTTAAAAGTGTATTCTTTTTTGAAGAATGAAAAGACTCCCATCTCTGAGAT